AAAAAATAGTAATAGAATTGATGAGTTTAAACATAAATATAAAGGTATGTGTCAATCAAGATATATGCAAGAACAGGTTTAATGATTAATTAGATGGAACATTGTGGGTGTGGTGTATGAATGTTAACACTTTGTAATAATTCTTTAGTATATTACTTGTGTGGTGTAGAAGAGAATTATCTATGTAGAGATACTGATTGCAAACCAATGATGATAAGATGATGTCATGGGGTAGGACTGGATAAGTCTGACTTCTTCCTACTCCATTCAAGCATGTACTAGGTATAAGCACATTGATATTGGATGAATATTTGTTGGATATGTGTAAAATTATGTGTTGACATATCAACTGTCTTTACATGCTTGAAAGAATAAATCAAATCCAATCATTAAGCACATGCGTCCATCATCATGTGACCTGCAGCTGTTATACCACTTACATGTTTAAACTTACTTTTATTTTTTTGGCTTCTGACGCAGTGACCAAGTCTGACCTCTCTGGGTTCAGACAGTGGTGTCTATGACACTGGAGGCCAAAGAGAGAAAGGTGCAATAGAGCATGTTTGGACCAGAACGTGCTTGTAGAGAGTATGACAGATGGTGCAGGAGCTCTGTAAACTGCTCTGCAAACCAGAAACAGAGATATTGCCTTTTGCGATATCTGTGACCTCTATGACCTTTTGCAATAAATCCTACACTTTGCTTGAGACTGAGGAGACAGTTTTTTCAAAAGATATGTCATCACATCTGTACAGTGTCCAACTTGTACTGGCCCAACACCGGCCCTGACAGAGGTCACTGTTCATAAAATGTGCCTCTGGAGAAAACAGGTGTGGTCGCTTGCCGTCACTGCTGCATGATGAGTAAAGGTTCAGTTCCTTTTGAAGACATTTGAGGATCAGGCTGTTTATCAAGTCAGTTGAAGAGATCAACAGTCTGCACAAGTTTTGAGACATGGATCGTGGCCACAGTGACCACCCCCCAGGCCAAACTCTTAAGGTTTTACAGATCTTTACAATCCACTCGTACATAAAATGTTACACCACTAGTTGTTGCTAATCAAACTGGTGAATTCCAATTGGCTGATTACAGATTGTGTAATACCTAAAGTACAATCTGTACAATGAACATTTATTTTAAAGAATAACTTTGTTAGAGTTCTGGTGGCTTATAAAACAAATTGATAAAGGTGGCTGAGCCCCAACTCTAGAATGATCAATGCAATTATCAGAGAAAAACACTGAACGAACACGAAGAACTTTCAATTTTTCTATGGTTTTTAAGTTATTCAAAAACTGAGTGGCCACATCTTGGCTACACGTTGAACGCAGCAAAAAAACAAAAAAAAACAAAAACAAAATCCACACGATGCACTAAGCTCCCAGCGATTTTATTAAAGCAGCAACGTCTCCATCATTAAAATCTTCGTCAATCATTGTTAGAATTATTGGGAGCTTAGTACAACTTGTGGATTTTCCATCTTCATTCACTTTCAGCAGTGTTGACCTGAACAAAATATTTCAAGACATGATTATAGAAAACACTTTAATTTCAAAATTACAAACAGGCCTGTTAATTTATTTACAGCTGAAAAAAAAAAAAGCCATCTTTCTGCATTCGTGCAGTCCATTATTCAACTCTCAGAATGCTTTCCGTCTACGTGTCCACACTCTGCCCACTGTCACACCTGATATTTCTCTGCTCAGGCGTCACTCTGTGTCGCCTTCTTTCTGTTTCTTCTTCTTTTTCTTCTTTTTGACACTTTCATCCACCTGCAGGACACAAACAGTTTCATGGTGAGTTAGGGCACAAGGGTGGCAGTGGTTAGCCCTGTCGCCTCACAGCAAGATGGTTCCGGGTTCGAGTCTTTTCTGCCTGCGTTGGTTTTCTCCGGGTGCTCCGGCTTCCTCCCACAATCCAAAGGGATATAACGATAATCACTTTAATTTGTCCTTGTATGTTAATACAAGCAAACAAGGAATGTCTCCGGTACAGAACCAACCATCTGTGGCGCTGTTCTGGCCATCGAGGGCAAATCAGGGTTCAGCGTCTTGGCCAAGGACACTTAGACCATGAATCAAACCAACCTTACGGTTGGGAGGCGACCACAGCCACCCTGAATTGGGTTTGTGTAGGACTGCTGCAGGTAGTAATATTCCTGAAGTGCCTACAGAAGGTCTGACAACGTTTGATATTTGTGAGTTAAACTCTGCCTTATTACATCTTCAGTTACTTTTGACTGAAATTCAACAACACATTTGATCCTCAAACTGACCCTAATGCCCTGTGGGAACGTGTGGCTTCGTCTGCGTGAACGTCCACTTCCATTACGGATAAATGATAATACACCAAGTGATGGAGCATTAAATGTTAAACTTACTAGCCAAAAGTTACTAATGTTTGCATTTCACCAGTCAACCAGTTAACAGTCCTCGGTTGTCTGGTGACAAGCTGTTGTGGTTTTAAATAACCGAAGTTTTACTCTGGCCATTCCAAATTCATCTCACACGTTGCCCCAACTTCATCTGCCACCTCATGCAAGATATGAGAGTTTGCTCTCAGCAAAAGGAAAACGCAGAAATGTGAACATTACTTTCCAGGATGACTTTTTCCAGGGCATTATCCATTTTATCTCAATTTCCTTGACTGGAAAAGAGGTACAAAAAACATTCCAGGTTTTCCAAAACACATGGGAACAAGCTAATAAGAAATACATTAAAGATGAGGCAATAACACGCCATGAAAACCAGGGACAGCTGGTGTCTACAGTAAAAAAGTGTCACCTTTCACCTACATTATTTTGGCCAACTATGTTACACACAAGGAATTAGTTGGCGGCCATCTGCGGCGCCAACTAGATCACATCTCTCAGCTACATCACTGGCGTTAGAACTCTTGTCGACTGTAGTTAAAACAACATTGCAGCAAATAATTAACATGATAAATGGCTTGAAGGGCCAGGCAAAGGAGACAGGTCAAATGACAGAAACCGGAGCTGAACACAAAGTTCTGTGTGCACCCCCCAGGTTTGTCCCCCCCTGACCAGTTAACCCAAGGGAAACACTGAAAGGTAACAAGTTACGCTTTTACACAATTACATTAACTGTAAAAGTACACAAACACTTTTCATAGAACATTGGCTGAGAAGCATTAATAAAAGGACCCAGATGAAACTTTATGCACTGACCTCAGGCTCCACCTTCGCCTCTTCAGGCCCTGTAGCTTCAGACTCCACACCCTCCACTTTGACTCTCTTTTTCTTTTTCTTCTCCATCTTTACTTCCTCAGCAGAGGGTGTAGTCGGCTCGCCGTCGGCGTCCGGCTCCTCCCTCTTCCTCTGCAAAGGTCAAAGATCAGATTCATGACACCACCCATCACAAACTCAGTTTTGATTATTGAAAGTAGGTTAATACATCTACAGGATGTGTGGCTCAGTGTACAGCATTGTACAAATTTGACAATTTTAACTCCGCACAAGTTTATCACACAATTCTTTCAACTAAAAATTGGTTTTCATAAAGAACCAGTAAGAAGAACTTCAAATATTTACAGGCTAGCAAAACTCAGAGCGCTTACCTTTGCTGAAGCATCACACGACGGCTCTGTTACCTTAGAAGTGCTGTCAAAACAACAAGAACAACTTTAAAAAGTACAAAAAGACGTTTTATCACATTCAGACCGAACCTACACAGCAGTGACATCACTGTTCTCAGGTGAGCGGCAGCTCAAAGAGGACACGCCCAAAGAGAAGATGCTCAAGCCTGAAAGTTGCTGTAGCAGACTGACTCCCTCACAGAGCACGTCAGCTCAGTCAGAGATAACTGTCTGCAACCTACTTGCGACACACCTGAGACCTGTGTAGCCCCGCCCTCGGCTGACGTGTACCTGTAATCGACGTACTGGTTCTTCCAGTCCTGTGGTGTGTTGCCGTTCGGTTTCCCATGTTTGTCAAGGAGTCCTTTCTGAATCATCGTCTTCTTTTGACTCGCCTGTTTAAAACAATAAACTCATTAAAATGTTCACATGACGGCTGTAATTGGTTTTATTGATCCTAAGTGACCCTTCAGGTGTACCTTTGGACCCAAACCCCACTTCCGAGGATACGTGTCTCTCTCCATGATGACCCTCTTTATCTTTGCCACAACACCGTGATCACATGTGGAGATCACAGCAGTCGTCATCAGGGCAACAGCTGAAGGACAGATTCAACAAGACCGATTTGTTAATCTCTGGTTAATTAATCTCAGCTATTAAGATTAAACCTGTCTGTGAATATTGAGTAAAGCCATCAGAAAAGGGTGATAGATAGCAGGTCATCACAGCCCAAGAGCTCCTGCAGCTACGACTCATCATATGGCTTCCACACTCCTCCCCCCCGTCTCCTACCTGTACAGATGGCCTCTCCTTTGGTTGTTATGACGACGATGTCCTGGTTCACCTCGATGCCGTCTTCGTACCTGAGGACACCTGGCAGCATGATCTTTGCTCCGTAACAGATGGCGTTCACCTGATGACAAACAATGTGAGTCACCCGGGTGCATTTCATTCACGAAGTCAGGACTGAGTCAAATATAAATGACAAAGACACAGGTTTCGGGTTTATTTTTCAGGATTTAGACTCACAGCGCTGTCCTTCATCACCACCCGTTTGTGAGACACCAGCAGCTTCTCCAGAGGAAAGATAACCCTCCGAAGATACGACTCATCTTTGTTGTGATCGAACTGCCACTGAGCGTCCAAGACGTCATGCATCGTCACCATGTAGTCCTGAAATAGAAGAAATTCACTGAGACTGTCGCACGTGACGATGAGGTCAGCAGTGTCAGAGTGATGTCACCACGATGTCAGCAGCGGTGAGGTCCCCGTCGTACAGATGATGTATACGGCATCTCTGCTGCAGGTTTCTGTGTCAAAGTTTAATTGTCAGACCTGTACTGATCAGCAGGACTGAACTCAACACTTTGAGCCTCAGAGTCTAACCTTTGACCTTAGGTCGTCAGGAAGTGATGCTGACCTTCTCTCCCAGGACTCCAGACCGGACTCTCCTCAGTTCCTGCATTTGACCTCCGACCCCAAGCAGCAGCCCCAGATGGACACACAGAGTCCGGATGTAAGTCCCTGCTTCGCAGCTCACCCAGAAGATCCCTGTAACAGAGCAGTGACCTCTGACATTGCTGGGACCTGACAGTGACGACCTTCTGTGAGGTTAGAATACTTTTTTGGATGGTGTGGTCAAAGCAAACCCACTGCACATTTAAAAGTGTGAAGAGTTTCACTTTGGATTCACTGAGGTTTAACAGCAATCTAAAACAAACAACCAAAAACGTTCACTGACTAATTTGGCAGAACCCCACCTACAACTTCCTGCAGCGAAGATACTGACAACTGAAAATTTAAAACCCTCTAAAGTGTCTACTGATGTTTGAGAAATGATGCTACTCAGCTTCCTCCCTGAGGTTTAATGAAATACAGAGAAATGTCTTAATTGATCTTCTCACCCAGCCTCCTCTCGGGGTCATATTCTATTAGCTTGCTCTCGTAGATTGTTCGGACTCTCAGTTGACGTTTCACAGCAGCAATCAATGGCGGCCGCTGGAACAAAGCACCAGTCAGCGTCTCCAGTGCCTGCACACAGAAACCAGGTAAGTGAGGGTCACATCACTGATCTTTCATGACAAGACAAAAATAGTGCGGTCTAGTCTTCTAAGCATAGAAATCTATGATCACAGTAAGACGGGTAACACTTCACATTTCAGTTATTTGTCCTCCTGCAGCTAATTACAATTAAGGTTTAGATTAATACTGTAATTACACCGAGCTGTGGTTTTTAAATCTGATTACAGATGTACCGACCGCAATCTTCAAGCCCGATTCCACTTTTCTTAAAAGTCGGACCTGCAGATTTCGACACCTCTGTGCCGTTCGTCTGACCTGTCCCTTCTGCACTGGCTCTCTCTCCTACGTCTCCCCCTGGCTGGCCCTCTCCTACGTCTCCCCCTGGCTGGCCCTCTCGCTGCTTCAGCAGCGCTGGTTGAAGCAAGTAAATATTTAGTGTTCAGCGTCAGAGTTTATGAACTAGCATTAACAGAGCAGTCTCTATACATCCATACTGTGCACAGCTTGCTGACCTCAGCAACAGCAGCGTTAGCCTAGCTAGCTTGCTAATAACTTCTAGAAGAGCTGGACCTCCGCGACTGATAGTGTTGTGTTGGAAAAACCAACACGGAGAGGAGGAGCTATTCACAGAAAGTCCGGCATCATGTGTTTGTGAGAGAAACAGAGGGGCTACGCACGGCACTACACTGAAATGAGACTCAACACATTATAAATCGTATGTGGTGGTCACCATTGATACTGTGACAGCCTGCCACAATAACATATGAGAAACACTGCAACACGTGAGTGAACACGCGCCCTGTACACTAGTGCGAGCCTCGCTCGAGGTGCACCTGAGATTGTACACGCTGCACATGCTACGCTCTTGGTCTGTGCTACTACTAGAATGACACGGACTGCTGTGCCTCTAAATCTGACTGGCACAGAAACGGAAATCTCAAGAGTGATCAGCCATCACAAGGCAGATTGTGCTGAAAACCAGCCATTACCGATCTCCACCAACTACTCAGTGCACCCCTCCCTCTCTCTAAACAATAATTTATTATCAAGATCAGTCGTGGCAGCAAAGGCTCTGCAGCAGGAAGGTATCACTTACCCGAGCCACAGCATGTTCGTTCTCTATTGCATTGTGCAGCCGAATGATTCCCACATACTCTTTACCTGCAATGCACACAGAGAGTAGTGAGGTGGCCACTGGATTTTACTATGCTGGCACCCCAGCCAGCTGGGTGGAGACTTTCCGTGTTAACTTAGCTGATAAATCACAGAAAATTTCTGATCTTAATAAACAGGAAGTGGTCATAAATCCATACCAGCACTCTGCTGAGATTTGACCAATCGCGTGGCTCGGTCAACACAGACTATCAGACAGCCAGTGACTTTGGGGTCGAGTGTCCCACTGTGACCAGTCTTCTCCACCCGCAGGATCCTCCTGATCCACGCCACCACCTCATGAGACGATGGGTTTGCTGGTTTGTCCAGGTTGATGAAGCCCGACCTGACAGGAAATAGGAGTGTTGTTGGCATGTTAGCTTGGCACTACGCTGCGTGTTCTCTGAAGTCACCCTGAATGTTAGCTTAGCATTAGCCTGTTACCTGACATAGTCCTGGATACTTCTCTTCAGGGGATTGCTGCCATTCGGTAGAGGAGTGTAATGAGCTGTCCGGATATTCAGTTTGTCAAAATTCTGCAAAAACCAAATTTAAAATTAAATTATTTTTCATTAGAAAGTTCCTGTAACTGATGTTTGATCATTTCCTGTATCAGAGGAAGGATCTAACAGCTGGGTGTAGCACATAGCCAGGCTTATCCGTTTATCTGGAGATCTTTTATTGCTCGTCACTGAAGCGCTGCAGTTTTTATATCTATATCTCAATTCAAGTCATGTGATCAGAACAGTCAGTCATCTCAACGGCGGTTGAATCAAGTCACTGTCCATGTGGCTTTTGGTCATCGTCCAGCAGAACGCCAGCACAACGCCGGTACCACTGTGGCAAGGCCCCGCCCCCAGAGCAGGAGCAGAGGCAAAGACAAGATGACCGCCGCTCAGAGAATGGATAAACCAATTCATCACCTCACATGACCAAGAGTACAGGAAAAACATTATGTAATTTTATATACGCTCTCTGGATGTAAAGAGTGGGGGTTACACAACCTCCACCGTTTGAGTTGACATTTTTGTTATGAAGGTCAAGTTGAGTAGTCACTGAAGACGTCAAACACCAAAAAGCAGCTTTAACGGGTTCTTGGTGTCAAAAAAAAACACGCTGAATTGGGTTCCCCCCCCCCCCCCCCAACCACCAGCTGGCAGTGTGAACAAACCTCTGCTTGGCACCAGAACGAAGAGATCAACGGGTCAAAATACACCAGGATAAGCTTCATTACAAGTGTTTTAAAACATTACAATTTACTTTTAAAAGAGAAAAGACTTGGGGTGGAGACCAAGTGGTTGACTTTGCATATGTGCATGTGGTTTGTTTGCCCATTTCAGATAAGGGCAGCCCACAGCTGGGTCTCGCCTCTTTCTGGGAGACGTGTCCAGCATCTGGTTATGCAGGCGGTGAAAGGGCCACTGCTCCACCAGCTCACACGGTGACGCTGTCATGCTTAAAGACTTGTGGACACTTGGACTGCTGACAGCTTCACCAGTGAGGACAGACTGCACAGCCAACAGCAGTGCAAGCATGACAGCGGTGGGTTTGGAGCTGATTGGCATTCACATCCAGTGTTTCCAGGAGCTTCTTCAGGACGCAGCTTGTCACGGCTAAGTGGCAAAAATGACCGACTACTCGCTGTGCTACATCAACAGCCTTTACTACATCAGGTAAGGCTGCTCGTAGTGACAATCACATGGTCAGCGACTAGTCGACGCTATATTAAAGTCTGCCTCTCTGTAGTGAAGTTGACTAATCTGAGCAATGTCTCATGAGGAGTTAACGTCTACAGGTGCCTACTTTATTAACCGGATCGTGTCTGAAACCGTGCTCTGGATGAACCGTTTCACCACATTGCCTGATGACTGTGCCAACATAAAAGGATTTAATGCGACAGTTTCACTAATCAGTGATATTTCTTGATTTAATGAAACATTATTTTAGGTATCTGTTATCAATAGCAGCAAATGTGATGCTGCATGACTGCAATGTATGCAGACCAAACTAATGTGTTCCAACAGGTAAACTCAGGTGTGTTACCTTTAACAACAGGGGCCACTGTGACGTGTTCAGAGAAGGGACTTTAGACTCTGGTTGGATGAAGAAGTCTCCGCTCTGCTGGATCTCCTGTGGAATACAATTCAATGTTTTATCTTCATTCTGAAGAAACATGACACCTAAACTCTGGAGGTTAAACATCACTTACACCAACTTCTTCTTCACTGACTTTCTTTGTCTTTTTCTTCTTCTTCACAAAGGCTGCTGAAACACAATCACACAGACAGACCCTTAACATAAAAGCTCAGTTGAAATGAATACTAACTTATTTCCACAAACTCTTCAGATAAAGATCTGATGTTTAATACATAATGTGGCTCTCTTCATTTACAAAGTGTAAACGCTCACTCGTGGCTTTTCTTCTAGTAGGGCAGACTACTCTAATGCACCGACTGGCCCCCCCAACAAGACCATCAGACAACAGCTCAATTGAAAATGCTGCTGCCAGAACACTAACAAACACCAAGACAACACATCAGCCCACTGGCTCCCAGTTAAATACAGAATTCAGTGCAAGGCCCGGCTTATTGTCTCCAGGTCTCAAAATACACTGGACCCAAAATCCACCAGAGATATGCTTGCCCAGTACAGGCCTGGTCTCAGATCAGCAGAGACTGGTCAGCTTGTGGTGCTCAGAGCTCCAACTAAACAAGGTCAAAGTTCCACGATGCTGCCCACAGCTGGAACCAGCTCCCAGGGGAACTGGGATCTGCCCCAACTGGAGCACTTGTAAAACTACAGGCCGTTGTCCCCCCCACCCCTGCTTTTAATTAATCCTTCTTCATTCTACCAAATTTTGCACTTTATCTGCTTGTATTTTTAAGTCTTTGACCTCAGTACTTTTAAATCATTGCTTAAAAGATTTGCCTTGGCTTTTAATACACAGTAGGGCCTGATGCATTCCATTTAATTTTAATTTATTGAATTTTTTGCACTGACCTTATTCTATTTTTAGTCTTTTATTGTGATTTTATTCTGCTATGTAAAGTACTTTGGTCAGCTGGATGTTGTTTTTAAAGTTTTTAAATACATTGGATTTGATTTTTCTTCAATTACCCAGTGACGTCATTGTGCAATTAGACACCAGGTTTCCTAATGTCCTGGAATAAAGTACACCCCCTCTGGTGTTCAAGTACTCAGAGGTCAGTCTAGGGAAGACCGAAATAAAGGGGTACACAGTGAGAACAGTCTGCCACAGCTATACTTAACTATTGATCTGTGCATTGTGTTAAGGCCTTTGAATTGCTGTTGTGTACCAAAACGTGCTATATGAATATACTTGCCTTGTCGATTTTGTTAAATGTGGTGTTGAAAGACTTCAGTCATGACCAAAGGCTTCAGTGAAAATGTCTTATACTTCTGGCTTTTCAACTTAAACAGATTTTCCCACCAGGGTTTCAATACAGCTTTTAAAACGTCTATTTGTTCTGATTTTCTGCCACTTTGTCAAGTTTCCAAATTATCTTGCTGGGCGCAGCAGAGGAGCAGCCCACGTGGCCTGCTCCGTTAACACGTGGGTGTTAGCATTAGGATGCTAACGTACACATAACGGGCCGACTGAACTGATTAAAGTAAAAATATTGAACACTCGATATTCGGCCAACATGATGCACGCGCCGAAAGGTCAGTAAATATCAACATAGGAAACTGATCAGGCTTCTCTAATAAAACGGAAGTTAAACTTGTCTAAGTCGTCACCTCACGGTGTTTCGTCTGCCTGAAATAAGTTGTTCCATAGTCACCGAGACATAAAAGTCAAACCTTCCCATAAGTGTCCGATTTTAATCAGTTTACAACCGCACTGTTTCCGTTAAATGAAAAGTAAAATGGGAGCCTCCATACGTGGCTTGTGCAGGTCAGCGGCCCATTTCATACACCACTGTGGTTCGTAAATGAAACAAACCCTGGGCCTAACCCGACCTAATAAGTGTAACGTGCAGTTAAAACCAACAATTCATCTAACTAACGTTACCGTGTAATATCGCTGCGGTGCTAAATGTTTTGAAGTAACCCCGTTTTTCGATTTTACGGAAACGCAACCCAACGTTCATTGGAAGAAAGTTAAAAAACCCAACAACGTCTGTTTAGGCGAAGCAGCCAGTTTCAGTTTGGAGCTTCATCTAAATAGATTAGCAGAATATTTTCAGCACAACGTGCACCACACTTACCCTCTAAGTCCGCCATTTTGAAATGGAAGCGTAGAGACCGCGACGTTCTTCTGCTTCCTCCTCTTCTTCTGTCGTTTATTTGCGGTTGGCAACAACGAAAGGTACCGCCACCCTGTGGACCGGGGTGTTGATCAGAACGGCTCCACCTACTGCTACAATAAAATAACCAAACTCAGTTTATGCTATCAGTCCATACCTGTAATCCCCTGAGCTTTGGTAACGTTTTTTTTATTTATTAAATCTTATTCCATTACTTTGAAGTGTGCTTTTAAATAACTCCCTCTCCTGCTTGAACCTTGGACAACTCAAAAAACATGCTCCACTGTTTTCTATACCCTACAAAGCTCACATTCGCCATTCAGTATTATGCTTCTTTAACAGCTTCAATGCTCTTATCAAACCAAATCCACACACACTCATGAGTGTATCTGCAATAAGTGTTCAGGACAAAGACACAAGCTAACCTACGTTACTGCAGCCGATTGTCTGCTGTAGAAACCTTCAATTTGTTCACGAGAAAACATTTACTTTGGAAGCTTCCCTGTCCAAAACCAGAAAAGTATTTATTTTAAATTAGACCATGTCAGGGTAAGACAGAGAAAACCCACACATGCTTTAACACACTTTTTTCCTTTAACAGAAGAACCACAGAGACACAGGTCAGTGATTCTTCCTCACATCCCTTAAACCGAGTGTGATATTGCTTCAGACAGACATTTGGTTCCAGCAACAACTCGGACACACCTTCAGCTCTCAACGTGTTGGTGGCTGAGCCCGAGTATACCCTCCTCCACGTTTACTTAAACTCATCACACGCAGTCCGTCCCGGCATCATCTTGAACTGAATCTGGTTTGACAGTGTTCTTTGTTTTTTCCAGCTTAAGTGGGAAACATTTTTCCACCCTGAAGGAAAAAAGGCTCTTTATTTAAACAAACTAAATATTCTATAAATGGACTGTAACAGTCCAGTGTGAATGGTGTCCCTTGTGTCCGTTCAGTTCGGTCTGGAGGGTTCGTCATCACCATGGTCACCATTGTTAGTTAGCAATGTAATGTCAGCATCATCATCACAGCAGTGCTCACAAGTCGGTTTGTTTGTGAAACACAGGCTCCCATCATCACAGGGACAAGAACAACTAGCTGAAGAAAATGAAAAATAAAAGTTCCCCTTTTTGGTGAGCACAGGTTCAGGCTGGCAGGACAAAACATCCCGACTCCGTAGCAGGAAGTAACAGAAACGTCTGTGTTATTTATAGTCACCATATGAAACATCTGGTAAATGGTCAAAAGACACTATGTGAATATGGTTTAGAAGTAGATTTAAGGCCATTTTTACTGTTTATTAATGTTTAGAATAGGGTCCAACTTCTTCAGTGAAAACATTACAGCTGTTTTACCAAATCGTTGCTCATTCTCTTTCTACAGCAGCCTGCACTTCTGGGTGTCCTCGGGAGGAGCTGAGCCACAGAGAGACTTGCTTTAAACTACACAATCAAGTGTGCATCAGGGTGTATCCTACCTGGTGTAACCTGCGGTTTCCTCCTCCTCAGAAATTAACAGTACGCGTGAGTGAGAAGCAGTTCAGTGCATGAGAGCAGCCCAGAGTCAACACAACAGCAGCGAAGGTTTTGAACTCAGCTTGTCCGGCTGATGAGTAAGCAACACTGTCACTGCATCTGTTTCCTCTGCTGAATATGACATCTTCCTCTAGTGTTGTCACGGTGTCTGTTTGCGTTGTGTAAAATCAGATCGAAGACGAGGCCCTGATCTGCCCACCAATTAACCCACTTTTAATCCTCCAGATAAACAATGATGCTCGTGTTGCATATGAGGTGGTAAAAAGCAAGAGCATCAGGTGTTTTATAGTTAAATAATCAATGAACACTTGGATCTAACAGCAGCTATAGGTGTCCTGAGCTGATCCTAATGATCAGGTAGAGCTTCTTCCCTCACACGTGATCTTTGGTCGAGTACAGACAAATCGTCAACATGAATTTGTGACATAATAATGAACGTTTTCTACCATCGGCTTTGACAGAGCAAAGCGTGGAGTCACAGCTTTGTGTGTATTGTCCAACTGGGTCAGACTTCAGACTCAGTTTTTCACTTTCCCACACTATTTTTCTCTCTTGCACTCAGTGAAAAGCTGACACTGGCAGGCTGAAGTGGACGACACAGCAGAGTACAGTAAAGACAGGGTCACAGTTTGAGGGCCCTCATCTAACAGTCAGCCTGGGGCTAACCCTTCAGGGGTAACGTCTTGCTTAAACAGTTTTCCTCAACAACTGAAATAACGTATGAGAAATAAGAATTTAGCAGTTCAGACGCTCAGTGAGAACAACTGGCTGTTTAGTTTTCATTTGGACACGTCTGTTTTTAATACTCGACAACACGCTGAACGTTGAAATAAGGTTGACACAGCTTCATGAAACTGTAAGAAGACAATCGCACAGTGTCTGTAGTGTGTCGCTGTCGGGCCCCAGGTACGCCTGCTTGCACCTCTAGTTTAACTTACACAGGACATTTCAATCAGAATTAAATGTTTCTGCCTCGTTTACTTTTCTTGCCCTAGCTTCAGCAGTTTCAGTTTATCGTGATGCTACAAAACACGCCACTTTGTACGTGGCTGTTTCGTCATACGTGTACGTCCTCTGACACACTGGTGACAATGATTTCGCTCATGAGCCTTAAAGTTTCATTAAGCTTCATAAAGTTACATAATGCTGGTATGACAGGCGTCTCATCATCCTGCTGACCTGCCAGCCTGACCTCTGACCCCGGGCCACTTTGCTTAAACTTCCAGGAGTGCAGATCTGAACCAGCCCGGTCCTGGTTCATGTGATAAGATCTGGTCCAGTCTGGCTCGATCAGCGCTGGCCGGTGTACGCTCTGAACCAGGAGGTGACAGAGGCAGCAGCAGACGAGATCATGCCTCCAGTGTTGGCAGAGGGCTGGGACACCTGCAATGCACTCTGGGAAAGATCCATGGACTGCAGGAGGACAAGAAGAGGAGAGCATGTTAGCAAACAAATTAATCCTTAAAATAATTTTAAAATAGTGATAAAACAGTGCTGTTGAGTTTGTAATCACATCAAAAAAGCTCATGATAAGATAAATAAAACAACTCTGCTTTCTAAAGATGCTTTCTGTGAGGACAGGCTTTGTTTCACAGCAGGCATCTGATAGGTGCTAAAGCTAGCTCCTAAACAGTGGCACAGCCTGGGAGAAGGCCGACTCAGAACAAACTGACATTTCAGGAGTGATCCAGAGGTTTCTACCTGTGAAGGGATGTCACAGAATCGTGGACTGGGCACCGTCTCCCAGTCTGTCCCCAGGTCTGTCTCCTCATCCGTCACAGCCTCGTCTTCGCTATCCTCTGCTGGGCCTGTGGCCTCTGGCTCCACGAACTCCATCGACTCCTCCAGATCAGCGCTCACCTCGAACGGACCAGTCCTGAACCCAACATGCAATAAATCCGATAACGTGTTAATCTATCCTCAGTCGCAGAGAACACAGCGAGCTTTTCCCTCACTGTTATCTGGCAGGTGGAATTAAACATCTGACTGAATAAAAACACCACTCATCTCCACATTTCGAGAACTGCAGCTGAGTGAAGTGCCAGTTCAGGTGCTGCAGATCCCGGTGAACCTCACCTGCCCAGGCTGTCGTTGTCGGGGGAAACCAGAAACATGATGTTCCTCAGAGTGTGATGAGGGTGGAGCTTCTCACTGTCTACATGCTAAACACACAGAAAACAAGTTCTTTGCAATAAATTACTTTTTTTTAAAACTAAAAACACATTCTTTGTTAGGTGGCCTCAAAGTTTAGACAAAAACCATGTGTCCCTCACGATGACTCCTGCTCATCAATGATGATCAATTGGTGCTCTCTCTCTTTGTGGTTCTTACCAATTTTAAATAAACGTGAAAATGCATAAAGTGAACTTCAGCCTATGCTGCTGATTTCTTTTTTCTTTCCCCATCCAGGGGGAAGATTCTCTGAGAAGCCACCTGTCTTCTACAGGAATGC